CCTTCCAACCCAAACTATGCTATGATTCTGTGATTTTCCTGCTCTCAGTATTCACAAGATGACGTTTTCTCCACCTGCAGCCTCCTCCTTACCTCGCTCGCCCTTCAGGCCGTTCTCCCCGTCTCTGCCGTTGCTGCCAGGCTGTCCTGGTGACCCTGGGATGCCTGGGATGGTGCCATAGGTCTTGCAGAGTGTGGCACTTGCAAGCTGCCCTCCGGCCAGGCAGATCAGCATCGCCCACATGGTCTGCATCTGCTGGAGCACAGGAGGATGTCGAGGGGCTTGCCTTGGGCAGTGGGAGGGATGGGGAAGGCACTCTGTGCTGCTCTGGAGGACGATGACTAGAACCACTTCTGGGTAATACCATCAGGGAGGGAAAACATCCTGCTGCAGAGCCAAATCTGCTCACCTGATGGCCTTGGAGGTATCAGCCCCTTTGGGCATGGGAGGGTTTGTCAGTCTCTTCCCACTCTTAAATTACTGTTTTACAAGTGCCCAGAGCTTCAGCCACATGAATATCTGGGAACAGGTTAGCCTGTCCCAGAGGTCTGATGTCCAGCCTGGCCATGGACATGTGCTGCAGGTCCCTACTCTTCTGAGTCCCCACTGCTCCTTCAGAGCAGAAATTCTCCATCCCATCTTAGGACCACAAGTGTAAGGTAAAATCTTTCCCCAGGCCAGGGCAGTTTCATCATCTGCAAGGGGATAGCTCTTGCTTTCCACCAGCATATCTGAGGGTCAGCTTTAGTCCTTGCAGATGGCAAAGCAATCCCCAAACCTGCCCTCCTAACTCCTGCGGGTTCCCATTGTGTCCTGCCACATGCCTGCTTCATCCCAGGAGCGTTTCTGTATCCAACCAGCCTTACTGGGGCAGTCCCTGGGGTCCCATCTTCCTTCTGCCCTCCCTGCATCCCACAGCTCAGCTCCTTCCCCCAACTCCTGGTGCAGGTGCATGTAGGTGCCCCACTGGGCATTTGGGGGCTGTATCTGGACATCACATCAGCCCATCCACGCTCTCTGGCCTCAGGTGGACTTTCCCAACATTGAAACTCTGGTGTCGGTGGGAAAAGAGGCCGGTGAGTTGGATCCTCCAGCTGCAGCAGCTCCGATTCAGATGCAGCAGGTACAAGGATCGATCCACAGGCTCCCAGCCCAGGCAGAAGACAAAAACATCTCAGGGTAGGAGAGCACCCCCAGGGCACGTTTCAGACAGATGCTCAGTCCCTGATCACCCCTCTGGGCCTTTGCCGTCACTCCTTTCCATCTCCCACCTCCCCCAGGTGGGGCAGGAGGGGTTGGGGTCCCACCAGGGATCTCCACCACCCCCAGCCCAGCAGCCCCCTTTCTCTTCTGCCACAGCGAAGTGCCAGTGACGCGGGGGGGTGACTGTCACCCTGGTGCTGCCGGATTCCCCGCGTGTTCCTACCTGCGGGGGGGAGCTGGGGCTCAGCCTTGCCAACAGCTTGCTCTTACCTTGAACGTCTCGTTGCACGGACCGGGAGATGGAGCAGGACACACCAGCGTCCTGCTTGGAAATGGCCACGGGGAGAAGCAGAAGTTTGCTGCCAGGGCTGTTGTGAAAGGATCTGGGCCACATCCCTTTTTTATCTTTAGCTCCCGCCCTTTCTTCAGTAGCACTTTCATATCCGTCACGAATGGTGTCCGTCAGGTCAGCGGGACGTGCCGTCCCCAAACGGCACTCTGGGGCCCTAAAGGCATACAGCTGTGGCCCCGGGGAGCAGAGGGATGTCCACTCTGCCCCGCAGGGTGTGCTTGCTATGGGGAACGCTGCCGTGAGCTCCAGATGAAGTTTGGGGTAACCCCTCAGGACTTCAGAAATGTGCATGCACTTAGCTAACATCCCTCGGGCTTCTCCGTGCATACCCAGCTCTGCTGGGAGGTATCGGCAGGCCCAGAGGATGCTACAGGGTCTTGGAATCCATCACCTTGAATCTATCTCCCAGGGTCTCCTAAATGTTGTGAATGGGAAGTGATTTCACCCTGTGGTAAAAGCATTTCCAGTCCTGCTTTCTGCTGATGCCTTGCGGAGGTGAAGCACAGGACGTTCAGGGGAGATGAACGTCTTTTTCCACTGTACAATGTTTTCCACCAGGAGGAATCTCCATTGGGTTTTGGTGGGCTCTGTAGCCTCCACAGCCATGAGCTCCTTCGGTCTGGCTCTGGGACTCCAGTGCTTCCCCTGCCCTGTCCCTGGGGAGGCTGGGACCCTGGGGATGTCCTAGCCACCGGAGGCACGGCTGTGAGGTTTGCTGCGTGGTCTGTGGCCCTCTGCAACTGAACCGCATCCACCTGGAGGGGAAGGGGAGTAGCGGGGCCCCTGTTTGGAGGAGTCTTGGTCCCCCCCTAGATGGGGGCTGTGTGCATGGGCTTGGGAACCGTCCCCTTCCTGCAGTCAGTGCAGCTGGGGGTCCCACCCCACTGAGCAAAGCCAGGGTTGTGAATGGTGTGCGGTGCTCGCTGATGCGGGGCACGGCCGGGCCAGGCGGGCTCGGGGACGGGCTGATGCCGCGCAGACGTCCAGATGTCATGCACACACGCACGTGCACGCGTGCACACCACGTCCGTCTGCCACACGTGGGCTCCACCTGCAGGAAGGCAAGTCATGGAGGAAAAAACACATTAGGCCAGGTGCACTGGGGAAGGTTTTATTGACACTTTCCACAGCTGGGTCATGGCAGAGGTGCTGCTGCAAGCCTGCTCCAGGACGGTTGGCTGTCCCTGGTGCAACCCAGGTGGGAAGGGGGGAGATGCAGAGAGACCTCTGGCTCCGGCAGCAGAAGGTGATGTGGGGTTATCAGGGTGGATGCACGTGGCAGTGCCAGCAGGACCCTGGGGGCTTGGCACCGTCGCTCTGGGTGCAGATGCAACCAGACCTGCCTGTTCCCCCCATTCAGTGGCTGCCTGCGCTCGGTCCCCAGGCCAGGGGGTTGTGTCTGGCAGCTGGGGTTGACCCCCTTGCTGGGGCTTACCACCCAGCAGAGAAACTTGGGGCATCAGCAACAGCCTGGCGGTGAGCAGCAGAGTTTGCAGGGCAGGGCGAAGGGGTCGGCGTGCTAGGGTGGGCTCTGGTGGTCCTCTAGTCCGGGAAGAGCAGGAACCCCGAGAAGATGCTGTCGGAGTTGCCAGTGCCCACCATGCCGTTGTAGTCATTCACCGCCAGCCAGACCTGGTTCCCAGCGCCCAAATGGAGGAGGATCCCACCAGAGCTGACCTGCACAGTGTTGGTCTTGTGGTCGCAGAAGCTGGCCATCTTGTTCCCATCCTTGTACAGGATGACGCAGAGGTTGGCTATCTGCGAGGTGTGGAAGACAAAGTAGTAGAGGCCGGGGAGCTTGCAGGTGAACTTGCCCGTGGTGGTGTTGTAGTCGTGGTTGGTGTTGGTGATGACATGGTTGAACACCACAGGGACGTTCTTCAAGGGGTGCTCGCTGGTCTGCCTCGTCACTGAAAATGCTGACTGGTGCTTCTGCTTGTAGCTGCCTGGCATACCCGGCTCTCCGGCCATGCCCATCGTCCCAGGGTCTCCAGGCAGACCAGGGGGACCGATGGGGCCAGTCTTGCCTGGCAAGCCAGGGCTGCCCGGTTCCCCTTTCATGCCCTTGGGCCCTTGTGTTGCAGGAGTGGCCGGGATGCCTGTGGGGTGGTGGGAAGGTGAAAGAGAGTCAGCATCAATGTCAGGATGTGGGGAGAAGCTCCTCCAGCCCCTTCCCTCGGGCAGGAGAAGGTTGTTGCCTCTCTCCAGCCTCCTCTCCTCCTGCCTGTCCACAGACGATGCTCTCTCTTGCAAACCAAGGCAGACCAGCCACGTGGAGGACTCAATGGCTGCCCTTCAACAGCCTGTGTGGTTCCCCTCCTTGGTCACTCACCTGGCTCGCCTTTGGCTCCTTTCAGCCCATCCCGGCCATCCTTGCCCGGCACACCCGGCATGCCTGGCAAGCCTGGAATCCCATAGCAGCTGTGAGGGGCATCTCTGGTCATAGCAGACCCCAGATTCAGGAGTAGGAGGGCGAGGGCCAGATGGAGCTGCTCCCAGAAGCTCTGCCCCATTTTGGTGCTCTGGAGGATGGAAAGAGAAAGAAAGTGCTGGGGTGAGGGGCCATGGCAGGGTGTCTTTGAGGCCATGGCGCGAAGGAGGTACTGTGCTATGAGGCTGACTGCACCAGGAGCACCTGGCTGCGATGGCTGTGCCCTCAGTGTCCCCCCATACCAATTGCCAGGCAGTGGGGAGGTGGATATATGGACCCACCCCCAGGGCAGCCCCTGATGGCAAAAAGGGGGTTGGACTTTCAGTCTGCACAGAGCCATGGGGGTCTTGTAGTACCCATGGCCAGCCCCAAGCTCTCCCGCTCCAGTGTCCCAAACGCCCTGCAGATGCATATGCCGGTGCAGACCGTTGCACCATGCTGCACTGAGGCTGGAACTCCCTGGACCCAGCTGATCTCACCCCTCCTTCAGCAGCAGCCCTGACTTTCCAGGCTGTGCCCAGCAGGATCAAGCTCCCCATCAGCTGGGGATCTCCCAGGACAGTGCCTGACCCAAGGGACTGGGTCTTCCCCCAGCAAGGACAAGCGTGGTGTGGTGCTGGACCCCCAGTCCCCACGCAGCCCACCCCAAAGAGATGGACCCTGCAGCACCTCTTACCTCTGCTGGGGGGAGGGATCCTGCGCTGCCGAGCCCTCTGGCTGCTGTGGGCACTGCCTGCCAGCACAGCACAGCGTGGGTGACTTTCCGTGACACCCTCCTGGAGGAAGTCGCAGAGTTAGGAAAGGGCCCTCGGGGACCCAGAACGCCCAGCTGGCCCCCAGCCGAATTTCACATCCTCCTGCCTGATTATTTCCCCTGAGCAAGCACTTTCCTGGCTGTCCAGCGAGACCTGCGCTCGTGCCACTGCAGCAGCGAGGGCTGGAAGGACAGAGGTGGGATGAGCCGCTAGCAAGAGATGTGCCACAAAACCCTCCATCCACCACGGGCAGTATCGCTCTGCAAATCGCCTGTCTTTTCCCCCGTCCTTAACTCATTTCTGAGCAGAAGGGCAGCAAGCGGATGGGGAGCAGCCCCTCATGCCAGCTTCGTGGAGGCAGAGCCGTCTGTGCAACGATGGCCTGCTGCGAGGTCATCGCCTGGCTCTGAAGGGAGATGCTGCACCCCTCGGCAGTGGGACTGAAGGACGTTTCTCCTTGAGGGTTTCTGACCTGCAGGATGGCTGTCCTCTCTGCACCCTGTGCTCCACCAGCTCTGCTGGGTGCTGAATGCACTGGGGCCCCACCATCCTTGGTTGGGGTGTTGCTCCTCCCAGGTGACCTGGCCTCCTCCTCACTGCTTTAGGAATGGAGACATTTGACTGCCCAGCATGTGTGGAGCAGCATCTCTGAGCAGCAGTCCCAGGGTATGGTCCCTTCCCTGATGCTTTCTGGCTGCTTGATATGTGCCCAGCCTGCCCTACTTCCCACTAGTCTCACCCCAAGCTGAAGAGAGAAGAGCATCGCCCCACGACCCCACCACCATCACCCCACAACCCCATCAGTCACCCTGATGTCCCTGTCCTTCCTTGCTGAAAGGCTGGAGGACCACAGCTGCCTTTCCCTTTCCTGGGAGAGTCTGGGTATCAAGAGAGGACCATGTGGGTGAGGTGCATGATCTGCTGCCTGTGTTTACCCTTGTACAGGACAGCTAGCTTGGACTCATCAGGAAAAGGACACACGTAGGCTAGTCCCAGAGGTTCCCCATTCCTGTAAGTGCCAGCTCTGCTTGTACACTCAGTTCCCTCCTGTCCTTCTGCCTTTGCAGCTGGGGTCCGTGCTTGGCCAGGGGCAATCTGGGATCACTTCTCTCCCTGGGCAGCTTGGGAAGGGGCCCAGGGCATCGATGGTTTGGGGAAGACGCGTGAATAAGAAAGAAAATGCAAGCGGCTGTCTTGGAAGAAATTGGGGAAGACGCGTGAATAAGAAAGAAAACGCAAGCGGCTGTCTTGGAAGAAGGTTTATTTATACTGATGGGGAGGATGTGAGAGGCAGTAATGGGCCAGTGCCAGAAAGGCGTTTGCAATGGTTAGCGTAGCAGAAGCAGTGGCACGCAGTGATTTCCCACTCAGGAATAAAGACCCACAGCTGGTGAATGGTCCCAGTGATAACTGGTCCCCTCCGGTGTGGGGTCTGAGCACCCAGGAGCAGAAAGGGCTGCTGGGGCCAGGAGTCCTCTGCCTCCAGGATGGAGTGGGCAGGCTCAGCACGGAGGTAACTGCTAGCAGGGGTTTCGCTGCTGCAGTGGTGACCCACAGCCTGGCCACTCTGTGAAGTTGGTGGAAGCACAGGACCTGTCTGGTGGCTCAATCTGGGTTGGTTTGCTGGGATACTGAACCATCCCATGCACTCACAGGGGGAAAACACATGCAGACACGCAATGCTCTGGTGCTAAGCAGGTCCGGACTGGCGGTCCATCAGCCCGCTTGGGGGAAAGGAACGAAGCCCCCGGACA